AATAAAATAAAAAAAATAAAGAAAAGATGAAACATATCTTGAGTTAGATTTGCCTTCAAGACTTTATATTACTACATAAACATTACAGTTTTTAAAATGTTTGTATTTCACTAACGTTTAGGGAGGCAGTTGCTTCGAAATTTGATCATATATGCAAAACTTTGCTAATAATTTATAAATTCAAAGGGCTTTCTCCTCCTTCCTCCCCTTCCCCTCTCTCTCCCCCTCTCCCCCTCCCTTCCTCCCTCTTCCTTCCTGCGACTTCTGTTTCTGTACTGGTTGTGGACTAGCTTGCAGGGCCGCAAACATCTTAAGCTGGAGCTCGACCACTGAGCTGCAAGCATCCCGGCCCCCCCCCCCCCGTTTGCTTTCTTATATAAACAATTATATCGTCTTCAAATAATCATAAGCTTTCTTCTTCCCTTTCCACATGAAAAGGAAATTCTGCACACTGTTGCATCCTTTGTTTCTTTTCCCTTCATTGCACCTGCTAAGGCTGCCGTCCTGACGGTAAGGAGGAGAGGCTGGTGACATCTGGGCCTGATTTCTAGTTTTACAGGAAATGCTTCCGTCACTTTATCTTTATTGACTGTGTTATTATATGTTATATCGATGAAGATAAGGGGGTTAATATCTTTTGTTTGCTAGAAACTAGTTTGCTTACATTCAAGTGTGCGTGACACACACACACACACACACACACACACACACACACACACATGTATGCCATGGTATACATGTTGAGGTCATAAGGCAACTCGTGGGAGTCAGTTTCTCCTCCCCCACTGTGTGGGTCCTGGGGATCAAACTTGGGTCATCAAGATTGGTTGCAAGTACCTTTAACCTCTGCTCCATCTCAGCAGCCCAGAACTTTTTTTTCTCTCTCCACATTATTCAACTTGGCATCAAACTCATCATCAATCCTCCTGTCTCAGCCTCCCAAATACCGGGTTTACGGGTGTGAACCCCACAGCTGACTCTTAGGACTTTAAAAGAAAGGCATGAATATTCATAGGTTTTAAGTAACTTATGTCCCTGGATGGTCACATTCCCCCCTCCTCTTGGCTTCTATGATGATTTTCCTTGGGTCTTACATTCATTTTACATTTCTGGTCTAAATTTGACTTTTCTGTAATATACTTTTAAAAATCTAATGTTGGATTGGGCTTGCTAATATTTTTGTCTAGGATATTTCTGGGTATGTTATTACCAAGATTTATTCATCTTAGTTTTTCTTTCTGAATTGTCTTCGTATAGTTTTAACATTAAAGTTACATTAGCATTATAAAGTCAGTCAAAAAGCCTCCTTCTTTCAAACTCTGGGAGAGATTCTGTGAAGCTGAAACTCCACGGTCCTCAAATGTTTGATATGAGTTTCCAGTAAGGCACTCACTCTGCAGTCCAGTCCACTCCTCTGTCTACAACAGTTTAGACGGTTTCCCAGGAAGCAGTCACTGTTAATAAAGTACACGGGCTTGCCAGTGAGTCAGTTGGTTTGTATAAACTAGAGCTGATTCAGAACCCCCTCTTACTCGAGAGTCTGAACGGCGCTCCTAAGAAGGGAGCGAGGGAGCTGGGCGTGCCTGTTTGCTCCTACAACTCCACCTAGGGAGGCTGAAGCCGGAGATGGCTGTGAATTTGAGGCCAATCTGGGATACAGTGTGTGGTGGAGACAGAGATGGGGAGAGAGAGAGAATGAATGGGGCAACTCTAAGAACCGTACATGAATCTGGACTCCTTCTCGGCTGTTCATTTCTCTGTTGGGAACTTACTGCTTCCCGACTACTTGTAAGCAATTAGGTTAAAAAAAAAAAAAAGCTTGAAGTCTGGAGGCAGGTACGGGGTTTGTCTGGTATCCCCAATGCTCTCGTTCTCACTTCCAGCACAAGGAAAAAGGAGAAACTCCATTTATGCCCACCAAAAAAACCAAAAACCAAAAAAAAAAAAAAACCAAAAACCCAAATAATGCTATAAAATAGATCTTCCCATAGTCAACTGAAGTCTAAGCACATTAGATGGAAAATTCCAGAAATGAATAATTCATAGGTCTTAAATAACTTATTACAAAGTTATTATTACTGTTCTGTGTTATTATTGTTGCTAATCTCTTCTTATGCCTAATTTATAAATTAAACTTTAAGATAGTTTATGTGTATAGGGAAAATCATTATATCATATGGGATGGATATTGCCCAAGCTTCCAGGCATCCACTGGAGACCTGGAATGGATTCCCTGAGGATAGCAGAGACTACTGTAATCCAAGAACAGTTACCTCTATAGTAAGGCCATTGTCTCCTTCTTGTGGAGTCTACCATTGTCTGTTCACAATTCCAGGTTAATTTTGCCTTTTTCGTCTCATGGAAGATACTTCAAGTCCTAAAAGTATTGCTCGTTATAATCCTGGGATAGACAGCCTAGGGTTTCACACTTGAAAAGTACATGCTTTATCGCTGAGCCACATTCCCAGCTCTGGGCTTTTTTTCCCCCTTCACTTTGGGGTAGGGTTTGGAGAGAGAGTTTTACTATGTAACTGAGGTTGACTTCAAACTCACTATGTGACCTAGTAGTCTCAAACTGGGGACCTGAGATCTTCCTGCCTCAGTCTCCTGAGTGCTGGAATTATACACCCATGCCAAGAGGCTTATTTACAAAACATTTTGAAGCCACTCTGAGCAGATGTCTTCTCTGTGGGAAGCCTGCAACCACACCTCTCATTGGCTTGACCACTTTCCAGGGCTTTCCCCAAAGACAGATCTCTGAACCTCTGGGCTGGAACAGGTTTTGTTGACCAGCCCTGGCTCATCCAGGCCAGGAGGACACACAGTATCCCAGAGGCTTTCTTTCTACTCTGGTTACGTCCTCACCATGGGGAGGGAAATTGCCTCCACTTGTTTCTACCTCTCAAGGGAACAAGTATTTGACAACTTTAGCAAGAAAGATTGGCCGCTTCCAACCACACCAGACATATTAACATTTAATATTTATTTATAAATTCCTTGGTGGGCAGAATTGATATCTTTTCAGTGGAAGAACATTTGTGATATAAGATTTTGAAAAACCTTTCATTTATATTACTGACACATTACTAGAATGTATGTACCCAAGCTGTAATCACTTAAGAGGTGCATGGAAAGGTATCCTAGCCACTGCCCTGAGTGTTTTGATTTTGGTTAGTCATGATAAGCCTTTTGATTAAGAATTTAAAAAATATTTTAGTAGTATGTATTGATTTGCATATTAGAGGAGTTAGGTATAATATTTCCACATGGGCACCACTCAAATCCAACCTCCTTTGTCCACCCTTTCCTTCCCAACATCTAGAATATTTGAAGAGGTTTATATTTATTATTGTTAATCATGTATATGATGTGGGGGCGATTGTAAGTGTCTGCAAAGGCAGAGCTTTCAGATCGACTGGGGCTGAAGTCGTAGGAGCTGCTGGGCTGCTGGAGGTGGAGTTCTGGGACCCAACCCTGCTTCTCTGCAAGAGCAGTATGTGGGTTTTTTTTTTTTTTTTTTTTTGGTTTTTTGAGACAGGGTTTCTCTGTGTAGTTTTGGTGCCTCTCCTGGAACTCACTCTGTAGACCAGGCTGACCTCGAACTCA